CGTAAAGTAGTAATCATCTTGTGATCGGATTACTCTAAAATTTCATCTTTTTCTCTTACCTTGGTCAAATCGTCTACCAATCAGAACGGTTTATCTCCACTGTCCTAGGCAGATTTTAGTGTGGTTAGAAATATATAAAAGTGAAACGCGCTCCTTTTCCTAATAAAAATTGTATCCTAACAGTCACAGGCCAGTCTACGTCTTTCAATATTTACGTGACTCAGTAAGGCGGAAGGTACCACGGACGAATAGGCATATTTAGCAATGTCAGTATTACTACACCCACGCATAACTCCATTCTGTCATATCAACTGTTGACGCGATCATATCAATTGGTAACAAACAGGTCCATAACACTCATAATTTAACATTTTGTGTTTTTAGTGGCATCTTCAACGAAATTCTACTTGCTGTGTAACGTTTCTTGGAATCCGTTCCACTTTTTGCATGTACATTTATGTTTAAAAGTGGCTAATTTTAACATTCATATCAGGTATGCTTAGCTGACATCACTGTCAGATGCTTTACACGGATTTATATTATGCATGCGTACACACAACAATAATGAGTTTCCAGGTGTTGGTTTGTAGGGATTTGATTGGTTACAGGATTTCATCATGAGCTGACATTGGTTAGAGAACCATTGAAGAGTCCCAAACTAGGACGAAACAGCTGTCTAGTACTCCCAGGTTTTCCAATGGTTCTCTAACCAGTGTCAGCTCATGATGAAAATCCTGTAACCAAAAGGAATGGTAGTTGTGTGAGATACACTTGCTTCTTAAAATGTTTACAAAGAGCATGTGTTTCAGTTGAAAGGAAGAGAACAGCGTCGTCGTTCTTCATGTGGATAGCGTTGCATGTCAACAGCAGCCTAAGTATTGACTACAGGACAGCAAGATCACGGTAAGTAAAGCCCTTAAGGGTGTTTCAGCAATTTCGAATAAACCTCTAGGGTTATTGAAGATTTCTTATGTTGTTATGTCAGTTGATTGTAGCAAAGTGAAGGTTTTAATTCGCTAAAATCTCACCTGTAAAATGTTCCAGTAAAATTAAATTTTAATACAATTGCATAATATGAAGTTAATTGGTGGATGGTGACTAGCAGTGGAATACGGGATGCGCGTTACGTCCTTTTTGGGACACGTCCACTGGCTGGATGTACTTACATTCCTGAGTGAGTGAATGATGGTGTTCCCACTGAGGCTCGAACCCAGTGATCACAGTTTCAAACGCCAAAGCGTTATCCAATAGATCACTTGGGTCACGAGAGCCACCTCTTCTGCAATGGGTATTAGTTATTATTTAGTTCAATCTGAGCTTCCTCGTTGATTGATTGGACCGAAGTGCTCGGCCTCAAGTTGACATGAAGGGTCCTTATGCAGATACTTCGACGATGTCTGATTATTTAACTTGAAGTAAATTGGTGGATGGGGAATGCAGGTTCATCCAGTCAATGGACGAGTCTCAAATGCATCCGTAGCACAGCGTTTATGACTCTCGCCGAATATGCACATGGTCCGAGGTTCGATCCCCTGCCGATGCACACCTGCTATCTATGGTCGGCCTGCAAAATTTGGGCTACCCATATCACATACTGAAAATTCCATGCCTGTACCAAAAAAAATACGTTGTGGAATCAAGCTGTAATCAAAAATAAAATAAAAAATAAGAATAGGAGGAGTTGCACATCCTGGATTCTACTGCTAGTCACGATGTTCTAATTTACTTCAAATTAAATATTTAGAGATCGTCGAAGCATCTGTACAAGGAGCCAACGCGTCAACCTGAGGCCGAGCACTTCGGTCCAATCAATCGACGGGAAAGTCCAGTTTGAATTCAATTAATAATTGTATAATATGTTGTTGAGAATGATGGACCTTTGAACAACCTTATCAGAAAGTTCTCATTTTATTGTCAGTATATGGATGACACATTTATTCTTTGAGATAATGATTCGGATAGGAGTACAATAATTACTGAATTCAATGAAGTACATTCGGCTGTAAAATTCACGTGCGAAGAGGAATCCCAAGAGAGAACTGCCTTCCTGGATTTCCTCCTTACAAGAAAACCAGATGGTAGAATAAAAAAAAATTTGCATCGAAAAAGCACTTGGACAGGACAATATACACATTTTCACAGCTTAATTTCTCTCAAGTACAAAAGAAATTTAGTGAAGACCCTCGGCCACAGAGTTAGAGCTATATGCTCAGAAGAAGTAATTAGAGGTGAATTAAGCATTGTATATGATACTTTGATCAAAAATAGCTATCCCGAAAAATGTATCAAAACAACATATGACAAAGAAAGTGGAAAGGACTACTCACTATCTGTAAACAAGAAGCCACTTTATATACGACTACAATTCAAGGGCGATATACTAAGTGAAATAATTACGAAGAAATTAAGAAAATCAGTTCAAAGAACTTTTAATGCTGGCAAACTACACGTATTATTCTCAACACGACCGATGGTGCTAACTCGACTGAAAGATGAAGTACCTAGATTAGCTAGTCACTTCAAATTGTATTTACTAATTCAACTGAGCTTGTGGAGCGAGTTATATCGGTCGTTGCTCTGGTAACTTGATTGTTCGTGCTCGAGAACATCTCCCACTATGGCTAAGTGAAGGTGTAGTTAAAACCATCAACAGTTCGATATTACACCATCTGGTGCAAGCCGGTCACAAAACAAGCCAGCGTGGAAGAATCCTTTCCTCTTTAATCCACCGGGTGCCTAATAAATTGCCAAAATCATTGAAGCACCGCATGCTCCAAACAGCAGAGGCTATTGCAATTCGCCTCAAACAGCCAGTGCACTGTGTTCAAAAGAAGCAAGTCCAGCCACTACTATTACCCTGGCTGGCCTTCAGTGGAGACTAGAAATTCATGAATTCGTAATATTATCCTTCCTAATTTTTCTGACATTCAGCTTATTTTATGTTGATGTTATTGAATTGCAATCTATTGATATTATTATTATTGATTCGATGTTATTTAAACAACATTAATGTCGTTATTAACACTAATTCATTCATTCACTATAATGTGTACATATAACTGTAGAGCCTTCTGATGAAGTTATCGAAAAGAGTACTCTTTGTTCAGTATCCATTCTTTTGAAAAACTGTGAAGTGTTTATTGAGAATGTCACCTTGTCTGACTGCAGTGCTCTGGGTACATATCGGTTGAAAGTATCTATATTTCAACTGAGCCGTGTTCAAATGCTGCTATTATAAGAAGAGATGAACATTTTCTATTAAAATGGGTTTTCTTTTTCACATAGATTCATTTCATGAAGGCTTCTTTATGTGTGTCTCCAGATATGCATACAGACAAACACATGAAACACTCATCTTCTGAAATAGCTTCAAATCTTCTTCTTTAATATCAGTTTTAGTTTGAAATACTCTGGGGCTCACAACTGCTTCGATAGCCTTGCTATTATCAACTCTGACTGAACTTTCTATACCAAATTACTTTGTAGACGGTTGTATCCTGTGAACGTCAATGAAAAAGATATTATTTTCTTCAGATTTCAAATAGGTGCTGATTGAAGTGTAACAACAGAAGACAAGGGCCAGGCAAAAGATCCTTTACTAAGGAAATCAACACATATTTATAGATTCTCATGTACATTATTATAGATTATTGCTAGCAGAAAAACAGTCTTCTGATTGGTTGTTTCTCACAGAAAGTTAATCTTTCATCTCTTTGTGGCTGTTTCTTGAATGTCAGATCATTTATATGTTAACTGTATCCGCCTACGCAAAGTCTTTATTCTTATTTTTCTCACGACCAATATTTGGGACATAAACATTGACGTAAATTAATGTCTACCAATTTGGCTAGCAGCCAGCTCTCACCACAAAAGGACCACTTGAACCATCCGAAATAAAGGAGAAATTAATGTGAAAGGATTGGGAACAACAACACATTTCAGCACAACATACGCATGATTCCTGAAACTTTTGCAATGACAACAACATTCCATGTGAGGCTAAAAATAACTGAATACTGGAGAAATGCATGAAAGTAACGTATAAAACAATTGCAATGATATGCATGAACTAATCTCCCGGCAGAAGCTTAGCAAATTCATGAAATAACTGCATTAAGGGACAACGAACAAAAAAGGTGTGGTAAATGTAACAAGAATGAATATTCACTTTGTTGAGATTTAATGCCAACAGCTGCAGGAATTACATAAAAGCAGTGGCTGCAATACATTTTCATTACCATTTTATTCCTTTATGTTTCTAGTGAAATATTAGGCTTTAAGCTAGAACTTTGGAATTTCGGTAGCAGTGGTGTTTATTTTCATGGGATGGGGTTGCTAGCCTCATGCCCACAACCTTCCCTCTTTACCAGTCTTATTACTGGCTTAGCGAGGTAAAGGAGTGCGTCGGCCGGGGATCGAACTCCTGACCACCTGCGTGGTCAACGGGCACTTTAACGCTGTGCCACCGACGCACTTTATAGACAATTAGATGAATGTTTGTATAGGATGCGGTATAAGTTTTCAATTAATACTCCTATGCTAAACTGGGAGTTGTTTTTATCACACATGAGAGAAAGGTGTCCTCTGTAACAGTTTTATACAGTTTTTATTAATTTTTTTCATTAATATATGTATTCCATATCGAAAAATGCCTCCTTCATTTGATTGGTGCGTTCAAGGTCATTCACCGATTGGTAGTTCCTGGTGCTTAAAGTTTAAGTTTGCCCAACCCATCAAAAAATAATTGTAATTAGCATTAATGACTTGAGATCAATTGAAAAGATTTTTCAAAATATGCGCCAGCTTTTGTTTACAACTGATGGCTCATTAAAATAAATTATTTCAACCTTCTCATGTATGTTATCCACAAACAGTAAAAATGCAAGATAATTTGAAAATATGTATTAAAAAACACCTAAAACAAAGTATAAAATTGTGTAAAAGTTAACTGTAAAGTCAAGTTTTCTCATGTCATTCCATATAAGATACTTCATTGACTTGAAAATGAACAAGCGAGGAGGGGAACTTCGGCTTCTCGAAGAGTCTAGCGCCAACAACGATGAGATCTTCACACATATACACTGACTTCAGTTTATAAAAACTCTTCACTCTCATAAATATCCAGTCGACCAACAGAATGACGATTAGGATAATTATGATGTCGGTTATATCTAGAATTGTAATACTGATGTTCATTTGTCTTGCCAGCTGATTTATTATAGATATTCACTTCAGATCTTCTGTGTTGCGGTGGTACATAATTATCAGGTCTATGCCGTCTACTGTGTTCCACGTATAATGGCAGTCTATTTGTCGAAGAAGCCTGTGAAAGATTATCATTCGATGGCATAAAAATGCCCAATCCATCTCCAACTGATCGATAAAGTGGTTGGTTCACTGCAAAATGACTTTGGTGGTGTATTTGGTGTAAATTTGGCGAGAGAAGTTTTGTCGACCCGAAATCATCACAGTGATTTATTCTTGTCCATGAAAGATGCTTAGGATAATTTGAAAATTTCGGTGGATTATATTTCATTTGTGATGATGAATGTGCTGTGATTTGAGTAAACTTTTGTAGACCGTATTCACCTTTGAATAAGTAACGAAAGTACTGAAATTTAGAAAAGAAAAAAAGAATGAAACAAACAATTATATCGTGGAAGTATATATGGAAATAAATGAAAATTACATAAGCATTCTGCTAAACTAATATTTTAACTGATTAAAAATGCTCATTAAAATTTTCAAAAGAATGGATACTGAACAAAGAATACTCTTTTCGATAACTTCATCATCAGGCTCTACAGTTATATATACACATTATAGTGAATGAATGAATTAGTGTTATGAACAACATTAATGTTGTTTAAATGACATCGAATCAATAATATTGATAGATTACAGTTAAATAGCATCAACATAAAATAAGCTGAATGTCAGAAAAATTAGGAAAGATAATAATACAAATTCATGAATTTATAGTCTCTACTGAAGGCCAGGGCAGTAGTAGGGGCTGGACTTGCTTCTTTTGCACACAGAGCACTGATTGTTTGAGGCGAATTGCCATAGCCTCTCCTATCTGGAGCATGCGGTGCTTCGATGTTTTTGGCAATTTATTAGACACCTGCATGCTCCAAATAGCAGAGGCTATTGCAATTCGCCTCAAACAATCAGTGCTCTGTGTTCAAAAGAAACAAGTCCAGCCCCTACTACTGCCCTGGCCTTCAGTAGAGACTAGAAATTCATGAATTTGTATTATTATCTTTCCTAATTTTTCTGACATTCAGCTTATTTTATGTTGATGCTACTGAGCTGTAATCTATCAATATTATTGATTCGATGTTATTTAAACATTAATGTCGTTCATAACACTAATTCATTCATTCACTATAATGTGTATATATAACTGTAGAGCCTGATGATGAAGAGGTTATCGAAAAGAGTATTCTTTGTTCAGTATCCATTCTTTTGAAAACTAATATTTTTCTTAAAACTATCTAATTTTTAATAACACAGATGGTTCTTTAATTTAGTTTCTGAGTCGACTGAGGGTTGAAGTTGTACAATTCTGTTATCTCAACAGTATCCTACGAGAAGTTTTCCAAGACCTACCTGATGTATAATAGTCTAAAACTTCTAATATAACATAATAAAGAAGTTCAACAGTGTAGATGTTAATTCCTTTCTTGCACAGGTGTTTCGTACTAGTCTGAGACTCTTCAACAGTACGTCCCAAGCTAGCACGAAACAGCTGTCCGATATTTCCAGGTTCTTTAAATGATGTCAACTTGTGATCAACAAACACTTGATAATTCCTTTCTTTCTCAAGAGTTTTTTAGTGAGGATTAGATTTGTTTTTCAAGTTTAACTACGGATTGATATCAGTTACAGAACCACTGAAAACCAGCACTGGAGTACTGGAAAGCTGTTTCATACTACTTTGGGAATTATCGGCAGTATGTAGCCACTGGCGGAGCTCGAACCCAGGATCTTCTGGTTACAATGCAAGCTGTATGCAATTCAGCCACTGGGACCCAACTCAATGGTCAGCCCCTGAATTCTAACTTCTACCAATTCGTGATTTTTATCGCAACCACCAACCAATGTCATCGGCGAGCATTTGTCCTCACTCCTGACAGGATGGACCCCACTGATATCAATCCGTGATCAAAATTGAGAAACAAATCAAATCCATAAAAATCAACTCTTGAAAAATTAATCTGATGCTGTCTAGTGACTTGCTACAGGACGGAGTTTCCTCTAGAAGCCGTGACCAATGAGGTCCATCGAGTCGGATGGATTTCTGGCCAATGACATTGGTTGGTGGTCGCGCCAAAATTACGAATTTGTAGAAGTTTGAATTCATGGGCTGGCCATTGAATCGGGTCCCATTGGCTGAATGGTATACGAGCTTGCCTTGTAACCGAAAGGTCCTGGATTCGAACCCCTTTGGTGGGTGAGTACTATCGATGATTCCGAAATTAGGATGAAACAGCTGTCCAGTATTCCTTGCTGGCTTTCAATGGTTCTCTAACTGATATCAATCCGTGGTAAAACTCAGGATTACTGTTTCTTTTGTGTTAAACCTTAGACAAATTACCACTAGTAAGTAGTATGAGTCTATATTTTGTTTACTATGTCGTTACTCCGCAACCATAACTGTTGTTTGCTGTTGAGATTTATCTCACTTAATACAGAAACATTCTGTTTGGTAAGTGATGAATATCTTCTTATAGTTAAGCGATATCTACTGTAGATGCTTTATTTATATTCCAATCTCTGCTGAACACTGTTTATTAGAATCTCTTCATTCTTTGTCTGGTCTTTGCGTGATGTTTAATCTGACGGACACAGCTTTTCTGTTTTTCCTTATTGACTTACAGTGACAATGCATTTGATGGCATTCAGCCTTTGACACCTCACAATTTGAGGTTCTTATATTATATATTCATTATTTGTTATATAATATAGTACCGTATTTTAGAAAAATCCTGTGATTTTGGATTTTACGCGTAACTCAAATGTTTGGTTTCATCAGTCGAAGAAATCTACAGTAGATGTATCTCATTGGCTTTAGCATTTAACTTAGACATTGTATCAAAGGCACTGTAAACGTTTAAGCCATCTATTACATTCGCTAATAATAATGTGCCTAATATTTGACGTTTGTGTGTCCCCGTGATTCGCTGAAAAAGTAATCAAGTTATCTTTGCTAGTGCCTTTGAAACTGCACTTTTAACTAGTAGTCAGTTAGTTCAAATGCCATCTATTCCATGTAATTCAGAGATGAGGAGAAAAGCTATCGCAAGGTATTTTCATGGTTAGTATAGCGAACGCCACAACAGTTGGTCTAGTACCTTTAAAACAGTGAAACTTGACATCTAATAGGACTACAGCGCCTCTCTAAGCATGTAATACATACGACTAACTACTTGTAGAAACTAAATTTGAGATTAGCCGCCTTCTTTTCTACCTATTCAAGCATATTGAGAAGGAAGCGCGGCAAATTTGTTATGCAGTAACTTGTATTTTCACTCTTATATTAATTTGGGTGACCGGTTGCTTTCAAGAATTCATGATGAAATTAACGAATAGCGATTCAAGCGAAAGACTGATTGATTGAGCTTGTGGTAGCCAATCAGAGTACACCGAGCTAATTTAGACAAAAAACCCCTATATCTACGAAGAAAATGTCTACAGAAGTGTAAGAATATTTAACAGGTTTTCTACTTTAAAATTTTTTGGGCACAAATCCCAGTTTCACATTAGAGTATCAATGTTTATCTAAATGACTATCTTCCAAGGCCATAATTAGGAATATAGAAATTATTGTGGTAAAAATTATCAATTTTTGAAAATAGTCACTGATCAAGAAGCAACCTAAAGTGGATACAACGTTTCAAACCTCATGTATTCTTTGTAGTGTACACTTTTGCTTAGTTAAAGAAGGCTTTATCATTATAAATTATGCTTTGATATAATGCATAAACATTATTTGAATCTTTTTTATTCCTTTATGTTCCTAGTGGAACATAGGGCTTCAAGCTAGACGCAAGAATTTCGGTAGCAGTGTGTTTATTTTTACGGGATGGGGTTTGCAAGCCTCATGCCCAACCTCCCCTCTTCACCAGTCTTATTACCGGCTTAGTGGGGTAAAGGAGTGCGTCGGTGGCCGGGGATCGAACCCCGGACCAAATGTGTGGTTTGGTTGGCGAGCATTCTACCGCTGTGCCACTGACGCGGTATTATTTGAATTATTCGGAAGTATATTACACCTGTAATGCTTTAGACAAGCGATACATCTCAGCAATGACTACTGACCCGACATACTGAGGAGGTAGACAGTTATGAAATCTTGATGTAATCCTTCAATTCGCTCTGAGAAAAATTACTCCGGATGAGTTATGAAATTGAATCCTTGTAAAACATTTTGTTGATAAAATTCTGTCAATTTGTAGATGATTTCAGCTGAAATAATAATTTGGCTGCTTATTTAAGGATTTGAACGTTTGAAAGTCTTTGTGAAGAGATGTGGAACATTGGGCTTCAACAACACTTCTCCACTTTGTTCTAGTTTCTGCCATCCTCTTCAGCTGAGTCCACGACTGCTCATAATTTTTCATCTCCTGCTCCAACTCACACGATCTCCTATATGTCACCCGCACACTGACAACCCACTGGTCGCTTCCACTCGAAGGCCTGGCGCGCGATGTCATTTGATGGTCTCCTCTCCATTTTCTCCTACATATTTGTTGAGCGATTGGCTCTTGGTTGGTTTTTTGCCACAGTTTCTTATTGCTAACTCTTTTTGGCCGGCTGGCCATTTGATTTTCAGTATGCAGCAGTGAGAAAGACAGCTGTTGATAAAAGTTTGTAACTTGTTTGCAAATCCTTCCCGTGACTGACACGCAGTGTAAGTTTCTGACTCGTATAGAAGAACTGACTGACTGACTTCACATTTGTGTTGAAAATCCGAATCTTGATGTTTATACTGCGGAGTGCAGAAGATTTCCAAACTGCTTTCATGTTGATGAAGGTGTATCTCGTCTTTCCGATTCTGGCTGGCTGACTTTGACATCTTCATTCGTGCTGTCCGACTGCCTGTGGTTGAAACGATGCTTCCTAGATAAGTGAAGGAGGTAACCTCTGTTAATTCTCTCCCGTTGATGCTGATTCGTGCTGGTTGTTGTTGTTGCGGCTGCCGTTGGTTGATTATCTCCATCACCGTCTTCTCTGTGTTCACCTGGAGTCCTGTCTTCGCTGCCAGTCACTTCAGCCAGTTTGTTGGTTTTCGCGTGTAAGTCTTCGTGTTTGTGTGACATAAGACATATATCATCTGCGAAATCCAGATCTTCTAGAGTCCTCTTGTCAGTCCAGCGTATTCCTGTCTCCTCGCTCCCCACAGTCTGACGCCTAATCCAGTCCACGACAATTAAGAATATCATTGGTGATAATAGGCAGGCAGTCCTGTTTTACTCCTGTATGCACTTCGAACGCCTTACTGAGTTTTCCGTTGTGGATCACCTGATACGTGGTATTGTCATATAGCCAGCTGTTGAATCAGGTTGATAAGGACTTGAGGTACGCCGTAATGTTGAAGTAGTTTCCAAATTGCTTCTCGATTGACGCTGTCTGTCAAAGGCCTTTTCGAAGTCGATGAAGTTGAGGGTAGATAGAGGTTGGACTGCCATTCTATCCTTTGTTTTGTGATGATGATGCGTAGAGCTGCAATTTGATCAGCACATGATTGGCCTTTCCCGAATTCAGCTTGTTCCGGCGAGCTGGTGGAATTCTGTATCTAATGAATCCTTTATTCTCTCCAAAATGATGCGACTTAGAGGCATATGCCTTATTTTAAAGTTGACAAGTGACATCGACAAATTAAATTTTAAAACTATAATTTTATGAAAGAAATGGAACAAATATTTCTTTAGTAGGCTAAAAATGTATATGTATATGTATAATGATTTACCGAATATCTTGTATACTGTTGATGACTACGAAAACGTATCAAAGCTAAGAGTAATCCAGTTACTATTCCCAGCATAACTGGACCAAATGCAATTAACCAACCCAACAGTGAGAAATTATCTTGTAATGGATCATTAACTGGTGCACGACTAAATGTTCGACACTGTGAATCCGGTGGTTTTTGTAAGCCTGTAAATGCATACCAGATGTAGATACTCTTCAAAGTAAAAAATGAAAAAAAAACAAAATGGAGAAGAAAAGATTTAAAGAAAATTTTAAAGGGTTTGATGAATAAATCGGAACAATAACAATAATCTTTTCTTCAAATTAGATCACGAGAAGATATGAGTTAAAGAACTATTGAAAACTAGCAAGGAGTACTGGGGAGCTGTTACCTTCTAGTTTGAGACTCCTCAGTACTACACAGTCGTGACCCAACGGGAATCGAAATCAATACCTTCACGTTACGAGGTAAGCTCGTCGACCATTCAGCCTTGTGAGACCGAGGCTCACGGTTCATGAGGTATAAAGTTTTCCAATTTATTGCTTTACGGTCCCAAATTAACACGAAATAGCTGTCCAGTAAATCCTGATGCCACTTAGTGATCCAACAGCAAAGTGACACTTGAAGCCATTTTTGTTGTGAAGACTTTCACCAACAGCTACCTTCGCTACCTCGTTAGTGAAGAGCTGATGGTTCGGGAGGATGAGTAACGCGGAACTCTGGCAACCGACCAACGAAGAACCTATTGTACGTGTTGGGTGTAGACTCGATGATCAAGGATTCAGTAATCAACCTCTCTCTCTCTCTCCACCTACTTATATTACTTCTTAGAATTGTAACCATCTCCCACCTTATTGTATGTTTGTGTGTTAATGCATGCAGTACAATTTCTGAGCTTTTACAAAACACGTGCAGTAGGAATGACTCATCACTCACAATGGAAATATGGAAAATACTACTACCAAACAAGTCAAGCGATGAAAAATAATGGAATTATCTAAACGAAGTTAGAAAGTTGTGTGAGTAACCTTGATATGATTGCGAGTGGCAATAAACTGTGCTCGAAACGTCATCAGTAAATATTACTGTATAACACTGTGTGGGTGTGTACTGTTGAAAAGCCCCAAACCAGGACTAAACGGCACTCCCAGCTGGTTTTCCAATGGTTCTGTAACTGATGTCAGCTCATGATGAAATCCTCCAACCAATCAAACAAAAACCCTACAAAATCAGTACTTGAAAATTGATCTGATGCTCGCTAGCGACTGGCCCTATTCAGGCAGTTAGTTACCTGGGGTTCTAGTGGGAAGCTGTGACCAGTAGGGTACAGTAGGTTGAAGGTGAACACAGATAACTCAAAAATGTTCAGATCAAGTTCAGACTTAACGCTTTGAAATTTTTCTGGATACTACAAGTCTTTAATCATGCCATTAGTCTTGGATAGTTTAGAGACAATCACCAAGAAACCATAGAACTAGTTCACATGCTTATTGGCAATCCTCAGCAAGATGTATCTTCATTAACGGTGGAACTGATGTCCAATCGAAGTGTCGAATCTACATCATCCTGCGCTACTAGCACAGAAGTTATCACAAAACTCTTCGGGTTGATACTCTCATTGCGTAAGACTGTTCTTCACGTGTAAGCGTGTATGTCTGTGTCAGCTTAAGTTTTGCATAACAGTCAAGAATCAATCCCCCGATACATTATATTTAGAGCATGCTGATCAGTTAGCATGACAAACGATTCATTTATTCTAGTATTAGACAGAGCATAAAGCTTGATGGTAAGGGAAAATCTATTTATGAAAGACACTAGTCAGACTGTAGTGAATGTCGAATTAATATAATTAGCAGATAAATGGTTCAATGTAAAATACTGAATTTAAGATTTTGGGGATTTCAGAAAGTGCACTGATGACTTATTAGAGTACGTACTACGTTACTTTCACTGTTCCTGTGGAGCCAGTTAGCTGCTATAGGCCGTACAATTAGGCGTGTTTCTTGTCGGATTTCCGAACATCACCCTGTATAGTGGTTAAGTAAAGGACAAACAAAATCTATTCGTAGCGCTATTCTATCTCATCTTGTGGATACAGAACATAAGATTGATGTTAACGAGGCTTTCAGAGTCATTTACCGCATACCAACTAATCTTAACTTCACCTTAAGAGTTCGTCCACTACATATTGCTGAGGCCGTTGGGATCAACATTAAGAAGCCTAACTTATGTTTCCAAAAGAAGGTAGTTCAGACATTTTCCTTACTTTGGCCATCTAGGTTAGAATGATCCTCAACTTTTCGTAGAAACTTCCTTATTTTTATCCGAAATTCTATTTGCTATTGTATTTTTATTATTATTATTATAATTTATGCATCTTTAGTGATCTGTAATTCCTTGATTGGACACTAGTAACTAGTGTTATGCGTCTAGTCCTTTCTTTGGTGCAGACTGAATTCCATCAATCAGGTTTGCAATGTGGCCACCATTCTAAGTAGCTTGCCATCACGGTACACATTGATTTGATGATATTAGATGGTCAGAGGCAATCGGCCACAGGAAGCCTCACCTGACCTGGGTTTCGTGCTAGTTGGCACTCATCAGCAAGACGTATCTGCAACCTTGAAGGAACTCATATCCCTTCTGAAATTCGAACTTGCGTTACCCTGCAGTCAGAGACGATTGCCTCTAACCATCTAATGTCATCACATCAATGTGCATCGTGATGGTGAGCTACTTAAAATGGTGGCCACATTGCAAACCTGACTGATGGAATTCATTCTGCACAAAAGAAAGGACTAGACGCATAACACTAGTTACTAGTGTCCAATGAAAGTATCCAATACAGTCCTACAGGAGATCAATCGCGAGTCCGAATAGCTCAGTATTAACGTCTCTGATTGCAGCACTGGGTGATGCGGGTTCGAATCTCAGAAGGGATATGAGTTCCTTCAAGGTTGCAGATACGCCTTGCTGATTGTTGAGTGCCAACTAGCACGAAACCTAGGTCCAGCTGGGCTTCCTGTGGCCGATCGCCTCTAACCACCTAATATCATCGAACTGTAATTCCACTGATCTTACTTAACAAATCAATGTTATTTAAAAACACTAATATTGTTATTGACTACTATTCTAGAATATTCTATGTATATAAATAAAATATACATATAATTGTAGAGCCAGCAGAGGAAATTATCGAAAAGGATATTCTTTGCTCAATTATTTTGTTTTTCATAGATTTCTGAAGATTATCTCTATCAATCTGCCAATATATAAATTCTCTATGAAAGTCATATTGTGGTAAGAGCTGTCTGCAAGCCAAAATTGGTCAGGAGAGAAAACAAGAACAAGGCCTAACCTTGAGGAACTCAACAACCAATCACAGCAGACTTAGCGTAGGCGGATACGATTAGCAGATATAAGTCAACGAACTGTCTAAGAAACGGCAACAAAGAGATGACAGAATAACCTTCAGCATGAAAACAACCAATCAGAAGACGCTGTTTCTCTGCTAACAATAACGAATAATAATGTACATAAAAACTATAAATATCTGTTGATTTTCTCAAATAAACGATCTGTTGCCTGGCCCTTGTCTTCTGTCGTTACAATATTATTAAAACTGAAATCAACACTGATACACGTCTATAAGAATTTAATATTAGAAACTATGTTAGTGGTTGTGTCATAGTAGGCGATTACTGAATTTAGTGTTGTCTCTTGAGGAAACATGATTGGATGATGCTCCTCAAATCAAAGTGATTGGTAAATGACTTCAGATACTTAAATTAGCATTGCATATCCTTAGTTCATCTGTACATCCAGCTTAAAAACTTTCCATAAGAAGTTTATAGGAACTTGGAGTGTAAAAATAACAATTATAATACCGATACTTACTCCAGAGAAAGTAAAAAGTATCGCATAAATGCATATTACACAGGTTTTCAACAACGGGGTTTCAAATTTTGTACCTTTTGACTGGGCTGTGAATATTAAAACAAAAGTTAATAATACAGATTAAACTGTGCAAATATAATAATAATAATAATAATAATAATAATAATAATAATAATAATAATAATACAAAGTAATAATGAATGCAAGTCATAGAAATAAATCTAATTGGGATATTAGAGAGAAAACAAGAATTACGGTGGCAAATAAATCCTGGTCACATTGAGGGAGGGAACCAGTCACACTCATTATAATAAAGGATTTTTGTATTTCCCAATGAATGGAAAACAAAACGATATTTCTGTTTTTACTGACGTTTCGCTATTTAATGCTGCTGCTAATAGATTTATCAAAGCAGTAATATTAAATCAGAGTTTACAAAATCTCAACTTATATATAACAACTTAATCATCGTTTTCCAGCATGGGGGCATTTTTGCGTTGTGAAATTAGCCAATTAGTAAAGATAACAAAATCATCATGTGCCGATTGTTGGATTTGATAATTGTGTAAAATTATAAAAGCAGCATGTGTTTACATAATGAAATTGCTTATCACCTTCATGTTGATTTTGTCACTTCATGGGGGAGGGAGGTGTTCTAAACATTGTTTTAGTCCATCATTTCTATTCAGACAATTTGGATTCCACTTGATATGAAGTGCTTCTAAAATATGCTTACGGATTCGGCGCTATGTATAGCCGATATACTTCCCTTCAGAGAAGCAAGTGAACTAGTAGACACACATAAAGGTAGTTAGGAGAGGTATTCTGTTCACTAGAGAATCTGATTCTCAAGATGACGACTGCGTGAGATGTTTATCTCGGAAACTCGGAGATAGATAGTTTTTAAGAATTTCAGCCTTAATGTTGTCATCTTTGAATTCCTTGTGCATGAAATTAATTTTTTTGAGGACAGTTTGGACCTGAAGTGATGTTTGTATTTCTCTCATGTTGCGGTCGATATATATACGAGGATATCCATTTTTCATGTCATCAAGTTGGAATTTTAATACAATCTCTGTTGTAACTTCAGAACCAATATTTCAAATTCTTAAAAATAACAAACATCTTTGGAGAATATCATGGACTTTGTGATTGTATAGGAACTGAACAAGTTTCTGCATTTTTCTGTCAGAGTTGCTGGTGTTGAATCAAATCAGTACTAAAAGTATGCGGCAATAAAAATAGTCTTGACGCTATTTCGGACTTATCAAATAATAATATTAACGATAGCTTTATTATGCACTAAAATGGACCCACAAAAAAACTTGGAGGATCTGGACTTCACCAATGATATATGTCTAATTTCCCACAAACTTGAAGATATGCAAGTGAAAAGCAACAAGTTGGCAGAAGAAGCATTGGGTAATTCTTTTGAGTAGTCAAATCGGCCAATTGGTAAAGGTAAGAAAACCACGTGTAGATTGTTGGATTTGATAATTGTGTAAAATGATAAAATCAGCGTGTGTTTACATAATGAAATTGCTTATCAGTCACATTCATGTTGATTTTGTCACTTCATGGGGGAGGGAGGTGTTGTAACCAGGTCAAATTTTGTTTTAGTCCATCATTCCTGTTCAAACAATTTGGATTCAGTTTGATATGAAGTGCTTCATATATTAGACGTTCTTTTTGATTTCTGAAGTGCTTTTTCTGGATTATTTCAATATTGTTAAAATCAATTTTGTGACCTGATTCTATAGCGTGCAGACCTATAGCTGATTTTTCAAGCTTTTCTAGTTCAACTGGATTTCTCGGTGGTCGAACAGATGCGGCTCTACGGTGTTCATTTCTTCTAATTTTGATTTCTCTATGGTGATGTTTGTCCGATGTAAATCGCATCACATTCCAAGCATTTTATTTTATAGACACAATTAGATAGAGAATCTTTAGGGATTTGATCTTTTATATGGACAAGGTTGCTTTGTAGTGTGTTTGATGTTTTGAAGAAAACTCTGATGTCGAGCTTATTGAGTACTCTTCTGATATCGTCTGACGTTTCTGCTCTATATGGAATGACAACTGTTGAGGTCCATGTTTTCAGTCATTCATCATACTTTCTAAGCTATGATGATCTTCCCACAAACAACTGAAAGTGGGGGGAATTCGAATGAAAATTCGTCTTAGTGTTTTGATCACTCTAATTACTTACAACCTTCAATCATAGTCAGACAGAAACTACCGTCGATTGCAGTTGAAATCAAAAATAAATTGAAGGAGATACTGAAATTCATTTCTTAAAACGTATATACAATAGAGACAGTGAACACACCTACAATGCAATACACAATCCTTTAGTGATGTTCAGAAAATGGTTTTGCTGCATTACAGCATTAAAATCTTAGAAATATTGATAAGTAGGCGTGCATTATGTGTAAGTGTTCTGGATAGCTTCTGGTTACAGACACTGATCTAAATATTGAATGATCAAGATTGAAGAACCTTGCCACAATAAAGGTATACCATGCTGATGCTTACCAATAAGTGCAAAACTGCACCTAACTAAGAATTCTGTTATTACTATTCCTTTGTTTCATACCTCTATTTACTGTCTCTATTTTGCATTTCTTTTTACTTTCTTCTCTTGCTTTGTGTGGTACATGGAGTGTGGCGACTCGAACTGCCGCACATCGGTGCAAAATTCTACGTCGAAAACAAACAGAGAGACTCAGATGGCGCAAAGCACATACCATACTATATATATATATATAATATGTCTTAGCAAACTACTATCGAAACTTCAGTCTAGTTGTAAAGTGTTTAGAAAAGCAACAGGATTGAACAAAATAAATATACAATCCCATACACTTTTATGTATCTGAAACCAGATGAAAGTAGGTGGAACAGTTTCAATTTAAAGAATAATTAATCAAAATCTGTCAAACACTTTAAACTTACCATACACAGTTAGGAAACCAACTACTTGTCCAATTACTGGTATAATCATTAAACGATCAACAAACCAATCGATCAATCGGATCCAATAAAACCCAGACTGTAGAATACAAAGAGTAAAATAATAAATTGACAGATATAAATTAATTTCCAAGAGTTGATTTATAAGGATTAGATTTGTTTTTCGAGTTTGACTGCGGATTGATATCATTTAGAGAACCATTGAAAACCATCACTGGAGTACTGGACAGCTGTTTCTTCCGCCCTAGTTTGGGAATCATCGGCAGTAAACACTGATGACATTGGTTGGTAGTCGCGCTAAAATCACGAATTGGTAGGAATTACAATTCATGGGCTGTAAGTGAATCGGGTTTCAGTGGCTGAATGGTATACGAGCTTGCCTTGTTACTGGAAGGTCCTGGGTTTGAACCCCAGTGTACCGTGTAAATTGTAAATCACGAATTCATTTGAAAGTTGTGAATTTGATCTGACAGTTAGACATACTTAACTTTTGGAATAATGATTAAGTGATGTAGACGAACGATCCTATTATTTTTTTTATTTTTTATTTTATTTTGATTATAGCTTGATGCCACACCGTATTTTCAGTACAAGTATGGAATTTTCAGCATAGATATCGGTAGCCCAAATTTTGCAGGCCGACCATAGATATCAGGTGTGCGTCGGCAGGGGATTGAACCCCGGACCATGTGCATGGTCGGCGAGAGTCTTAACCACTGTGTCACCGACGCACTGATAATAATAATAAGAATAAATCACAACAGGTTGTGATTACGGAACTGAAAGATGGAGTAGCTAGGCTAGCCGCCTCTTTATCTATCAATTCAGCCGTTACTTTGGAGACAGCTGTATTAGCCGTAGCTATAAAAACTTAATTTTTTCGTGCTCGTCAACACCTACTAGTGTGGCTATAAAAAGGTGTCGTTGAAACAATCAACAGTAGTGTATTGGACCACCTCATCAAAACACGCTACAAACCTAGTCACATTGAACAATCTTTCTCTATCATATATCGGGTATCGAATAAATCATCAAAGACCCCTAGATATTGAACAATCCGAATAGCAAAGGCCATTGCAATTTTCCTAAATCAACAGGAGCTCCGCGTGCAAAACAAACAAGAGCAGCCAATACTGTTATCCTGACCTGCTTTCAAACCTATAAATCCATAAATTCTATATTATTTCTCTTAATTTCCCTGATATTCAATGAGTTTAGTGGTATATTAATGCATATTATCTCTCTCTCTCTTATCGATGGTTCTAGAACATAATCTGTCGATACTATTGATTCAATGTAACTTAAAAGAGCAGTAATGCTTCAGGCTAGGCCACAGATTGATATCAGTTAGAGAACCATTGAAAACCAACACTGGAGTACTGGACAGCTGTTTCATCCTAGTTTGACAATCATCGGCAGTACGCACCCACCACAGGGGTTCGAACCCAGGGCCTTCCGGTTACAAAGCCAGCTCGTATACCAATCAGCCACTGGGACCTGACTCAGTGGGCAACCCATGGATTCTAACTTTTACTAATTCGTGATTTTAGCATTGTCACCAGCCAGTGTCATCGACGGGAAATCCATCTTCACTCCTGACTGGATGGACCTCACTGCTCACAGCTTCTCACTAGAATTCCAGGAAACTCCATCCTGTAGCAAGTCACTAGAGAGCATCAGATTAATTTTTCGAGAGTTGATTTGTAGGGATTTTATTTGTTTCTCAAGGGGGGGGTCCATTCTGTCGGGAGTGAGGACAAATGCTCATCGATGATACTGGTTCGTGGTTGCGACAAAAATCACGAATTGGTAGAAATTAGAATTCATGGGTTGGTCATTGAGTTGAGTCCCAGTGGCTGAATTGCATACGAGCTTGCCTTGTAACCGGAAGGTCCTGGGTTAGAACCCCTCAGTGTGGGTGAGTACTGCTAATGATCCCCAAACTGGGATGAAACAGCTGTCCAGTACTCCAGTGATGGTTTTCAATGGTTCTCTAACTGATATCAATCCGTGGTCAAACTCGAAAAACAAATCAAATCCTTAAAAATCAACTATTAAAAAATAAAAATATTTGTTTAATTATTGTGGTCATATTGATATAGAACCTGATGACGAATTTATCGGAAACAATATTCTTTGTTTACTAATGAACCTTTTAAATAACTGTCTCACCTGTGTAATTAAAGGCAATCCAAGTAATCCAAGTAGCAGTATAGTGAATACAATTGAACAACGATAAATTCTTTTATAATGATCTTCATACTTCTCATTAATTACTGTTAAATGACCAACTATGTGTTCTACGGTAGTTAACAGAATTAATGCCTTGAAAGTTAAATTTAAAAAAACAAACAATAAGAGAACGAGATGGTAACAAAAATAATGAGTACTGCTCAAAATATTTATCATTCTAGAGTGGATCTCCTGGCTCTCTTTGGTAGTGTTGTATTACTCTACCAAACTTTATCTAAACGTTGGCCAGATTAAGATAAACTACGTCAGACTAGTCAATGAAGTGTGATGAATACCGTAGTTCTACTATCGTTAAATCAGTATCAGTGGTTAAACAATAGAATACTCGCCAGCCACGCAAGTGGCCGGGGTTTGTTTTCCAGCCGACACACTGCCAAACTTTACCTAGCCGCTAGCAAGCCCGGAGAAGATGGAAGGCTGGGTTTGGGGCCAGCCACCTCTCATCGCCGCTACTGAAACTTCAAGGCCTCAATCCTGGTGCTCTATATTCCATTCGGAACCTGAAGGGATGAAAAAATAGACATTCATTACATCAGATGTTTAATTAATCCAGGGTAGTGTAATCGAGGCAAATAGAAGTGAGACGACCAAACTGAATGATATTTTAATGCTTAGTTAGTACTACTTTTTGATTGGTGGATTGTTGTTGGTCAGATTCATTTGATCCTCTAATCATTTCTATGATAAACATGTCATTTACCGATCAAATACTGAAGACATTTTTCACTGGTTAACATTCGCTAATTGATGTCCCCAATTTTTCCCATCTTAGAATGACTACCGTTTGCAGGTTAAACTGGCCTAAGTCAGCTTTGACCGAAATTAACAAATTAAACCATTGGGCCAAAGCATTCTACAACTCGCCCCTAAGAAATACGTGTACATCAAGCTACCCTATATAGGGCATCAAAGCAGCTTGATAACTAGACAAAGACTGAACGCTGCTGTCAAAAAGACTTTTTATGCAGCCAATATCATAATAATAGAGAATGTAAGCCAATATATCTATCTAAGCCCTTCGAACATGCGAAAAATTACGTCACATCCCACTGTATTTACCAATTTGAATTTACGTGTGGACACACATATATAGGGAGGACTCATCGATCTCTGCAAGTAAGGGCTGGCTTCAGAACATATTCCTAAATGGCTCCAGAAACAAATGGAATCTTCAGAACCCAATAATGGTGAGAACAGGAGACCTAGCTCTTCTATTGCGAAACATATTATAGAAACAGGACATAAAATTGACGTTAACATTTCTTTTAAACCTATCTATAAAACGTGTTTGGGGCGTATCCTTAAGTTTGTAGAAGCCCTAGCTGGCAATTAGGAAGCTTACGCCACCTTTATGCGTTCAAAAACAATTCGTCATCACACTAAACAATCACCTTCTTTGGTAAACTTTGTCTTGATACCATAACAGATGTACTATTACCTCTACTATTTGGTTTAGTGGTCTTCATTGTTATTTTGACCTTGAATATGTCCTCTTAACTTGACCTAAGTCTATTTTCCCACCTCTTACCTCTTTATTAATTTCATATATATATTCGTATGACAAGTCCGTGTGTGATCAGATTGTTCGAAATGTGTTGCGCAAATACATTACACGATTCAGACAAATTTCGTCTTCTTATTGCTTTATCTAAATTCATAAAGGGAACTAATTGTTTAAAAAAAAGAATTATTGTAATGTGATTGGACGATCATACGTCTGACATTATGCAAGCAATTTGATTTGTTGTTTACTCGCTTAACTTTCCGAGTACCTGTAATGTATGTGAATTATGAATTTCTCTCACTGGCTGACACACCAAGAAGTCTAATCGCCCATCAGACTCGTGACATCCCGTTTTTAATTAATGGGTTCCAACTGAGTAACACCTAAAGCGACATTCATGTGATTTAGCTGGCAGTGTGCGCCTTTACGTACCGTGGTGCATTAACTGCTTTGAAAATCCCTGCTGAATGATCTAATCACAATATTCATGCTCATTTGAATGTTTCAAATAACTTTGTAATTATTATCTATAGTTTGGTTTGTAAGGGTTAGTTATATTTTTACGAGTTGATCACGGATTGATATCCCAGTGGGTGCGTACTTCCAATGATTCCCAAACTAGGATAAAACAGCAGCTGTCCAGTACTCCCTGGTTTTAAATGGTTCTCTAACTGATATCAATCCGTGATCAACTTGTAGTTATTAACTATTTTTTCTCTAGACGGTATATCATTGTTCTGATATTGCACATCCTATGTCAACTTGACCCTTATTATTTGACTTTGTTGCTGTTTAACCTCTAGTTTTAGTGCTTCTCTCTGTGACTGTGCGATACATTGATGATGTATTATCTTGCTACTGTGATTCTGCTTAAGTGAATCAAAGTCATTTCGACTTCAGGCTGTCTGCTGGAACTGTTGTTATGTGATTCTTGTGGACATAGTTTTCATTCCCACCTTGTTGGGAATATTCTACTTGGTTCTCAGTTACTACTTACAGTTCAATTTTGGTTTCCCAGCATCTTTCTACAGTACTCGGTTTGTACTAGGAACGTCCCCTTGACTATATAGGCTACCTAATGACAATGTTGAGGTTATTTTGAGTTTTTGATGTTATTAAAATTGAATAGAAACACACATAGATTCCATTCAAGAACAATCGTGTTTTCGCTTTCTTTTGGGGTGTTTGGTGACCGTGTTTTTCTCAAGAAAGTTTTGTCGGCGATACATTGGGACACCGAGATCGGTTCTCTACGTTCAGAACACAACGTGAGATCAATAGATCAGCATTTAAATCTATGCTGTGTTGATTAAAGTGTATCTGTTTAAATCACCGAAAATACCCATTGAGTCATGAAGAAAATAAAAGACAAATTCAGCGAAGAAAATTTTCTTTATCGACGAAATCATCTTCAGAGGCTGTACAGTCGTATTTATACTTTACATACTTCAGGATCCTGAAGAATCGCTTATGCAGAACACTGAGGAAAGCCTTCTTTATGGCTGAGCTACGTATCAATTTCCAAAGTCGACAAATGATCAATGGATGTGTGAAGGATAAACTGCCGCTTTGGGCCACCTCAATGTGTGTTTATGAATTCACCTGCTCCTGTGGACCTAGTTATATTGGCCGTACAAAGCGCACGCTTTCCAAACGCATCCAGCATGATTAGCAAAGGGACAATGCAAGACAATAACTAGCTTAATTCTCGAGCATTTGGTCAACTCAGGCCACGTAGCTCCACCAGAGTCGTTTTTCAAGATCATCTACAAAGTGAAGCCAAATGGTACAAAGGGAATCAGGTTTCGGCTTTTGTGTATGGTGGAGGCGCTGGCAATTCGTCAATACAACCCTGAACTGTGTATACAGAAACATTTTGTCCAGTTTTATATTCTATTTTGGTGTTAACCTCTTCACTAGTCTTTCCCTGTAAAAAAATTTGATTTTTTCTTTTCTTTTTTAATTTTCAATTTTTTCTTTTGGTTTGCTTTTGCTGTAATAATTAAATCACTATTACCACTCTCATATGCTCCTTCTGTACACTTCATACCCTCTTCACACTTGTTAAATTGATACCCAACTACCTTTCTTCTCACTCAATAGCAATTTTAACCTTGTCAAACTTCTATCTTTGTGCCGTTCAGTACCACGTAATTTACAACTTTTATGCTTTACTTCTAAAGCCACTTCTGAGTAATTATATCAATTATGTCATCCCCTATTACTGAATAATAAACCACTATATATTTTTTGTAAGTATAAATACGACTGTATAGCCTCTCAAGATGATTTCGTCGATAAAGAAGCATTTTCTTCGATGAATTTGTCTTTTATTTTCTTCATGTATCTGTTTACTTTCTGCTTCATTTATTTTTGCGAGATAATGCATAACTCGCAAAATCTGTTTTTTTGTGTGTATATTATGTGTTTCTGCAACATTTTTCAAACCTTTGAAATCACCTTAATTAACTCGTAATACTTACTTGATTCAATAAAAGGCATAATGACAGTCCAAGAAAATAAGATGTGACAAGTGCTCTAGGACTTGAAAATTTTGAAAAAATATGTGACATTATTACAAATGGTGCTAACCAATCAGCACTTAGATGACATCGAACATATTGTGGATCATAAGATGAAGCTACAGCGAATAGCATGATTAGTACAGGTAATTGTCCGAGTAATATTGAACCTATTGCTAGAGGAATCCAACCACTAAAAAAAGATAACAAATTTAACAGAATTATGTATATTACTTTTAACGTTATCAGTAGTTTAGGCTAAAATTACGAAAATTTAAAAATATGGAAACATAACGGAAAATCTTTGAAAACTTATGTTAGATGGGATTACTTTGTCGAAAAAATTCTTATCAGTACTTGGAAAACTTTTTCAGATAAGCTAAATTTAGGATTCATCACAAAAAACTGACTTCAGTTAGAGACCACTGAAACCCAAGGAGTATTAGACACCTATTTTATCCTGGTTTTGGACGCTTCTTAAGTACACAGCTATGACCTCACCAGGAATCGAACTCATAACCTTCAGGCTACAAGACGAGCTTGTGAACTACCAGGGCACTGAAGCGAAATCCACTGACAAACCCCCGGATTCTAACTTCTGCCTATCCACGAAATATTGCATGACCGCCAGCCAATGTCATCGACGAGTACTTATCCTCACAGCCAACTTGGTGGAGCCTACTTCTCACGACTGCTCATTAGGACTACAAGGAACTTCATCCTGCAATGCGTCACTATTAAGGATAACTTATTCTGTATTTACGAAATGAATGCTAAATATGTTTGTTGACATCTAGAAAAGGTGTTCTAGAAGGAAAAGCTTTAGTTTCTCCTTTTGAAATACATAATCATAAGCAGAATGAATCAAAGGTCAGATGATAAATAAAATATAATGAAAGTAAAGATAAGAGTTTGTTTAAATCAAATTCACAATTTTCAAGTTAGTTAGAAATTTACAAAGTGTGAATTGGATTCGCCCAAGTAGCTTGCCAGAATTCGGGTGGTTTCACAGCTGATTTGTCTCTCTGAACTAAGTCAAAAAACGGAGTACACCAGTGAGGAGATCAGCCCCAAATGAGCGAATTGGCCATCCAGTGTTTATATCACCTCGATCTGGCTAACAGGCACTCCTGGTTGATAGGAGTGGTATACAACTACTCATCTCAGTCAATCAGTATTATTATTATTATTCCCTTGTGTTCCGAGTAGAACATATAACTTCAACAATACATCTACACTTTGTTCTATTTTCTGATGTCCTCTTCAGCTGGATGGGCGATTGCACGTAATCCCTCATCTCCTTCTCCAATTTAAACAAACTCCTTCATGTTCCCACCTAGGCTCGAACCCAGTGACCATAGTTTCAAACGCCAAAGCGTTATACACTAGACTACTTGGGCCACGAGAACCACCACCTCTTGTGCAACGGGTCATATTAATTATCTAATTCAATTTTAGATTTTGATTGGACTGAAGTGCTCGGTCCCAGGTTGACATGTCGGCTTCTTGTACAGATGCTTCGACGATGTCTTGGCATGTAATTAGAAGTTAATTGGTGGATAGTGACAAGCAGTGGAATCCCGGATGCGTATTTCGTCCTATTTAGGACTTGTCACTGGATGTACCTGGATTCCACAGTGACAGATGATGTTCCCACCGAAGCTTCAACCAAGTACCCATAGTTCAAAACATTCTCTGAGAGATGAAGCTTCTGAAACAGGATATAATCTCGTCTCAACAGTTCAGTGGTATCAGAACTCAAGGGGTATTTCGTCTTAGAAGATGGATAGACTTACTTCTCTATTGGGAGGAGAAGGTGTTATTGTACACGTAAATGAAACTGTCTTATTAAAGAGAAAATACAACAGTGGTCGTGAACGACCAAACAATGCTTGGGTGATTGGTTTGTAAGACACCTCTCTACGGAAAAGATTCGTTGAGAGAATAGCACGTAGAAAGTCAAATAATTTAATACCCATTATCACTCGATTGGTGAAACAAGGATCTATAATACACACAGATGAATGGAAAGGATATAACTCCTTGTCATCCCTTGGATATATTCACCACAGAGTCAATCATTGTGACGATTTTGTGGATCCCATTACAGGGACCCACACCAGTCCTATCAAAGACTTTTGGGGAAGGTTGAAAAACTAGTTTAGAGCCATTAATGGATCTCAAAAGGAAGTTATTTATAGACAATTAGATGAATACATATATGGGATGTGGTGTAACTTTTCTATTGATACTCCTATGCTAAACTTGAAGTTGTTTTTATCACATTTGAGAGAAAGGTATCCTCTCTATCACTCTTATGTGGCTTTCATACATGTTTTCCCCCATAAATATATGTATTTCATACCCAAAAAAGTAGCCCCTTTCATGGGATTGGTGTGCGTTCAAGGTCATTCGCCAATTGGTAGTTACTGGTACTCACAGTTTAACTTTGTCCAGTTTTCAAAAGCCTTCAGTAACACTCTTTCACTCCATTTGAAAATATTTTCTATCAATTTACACATTATTCTAACATAAATGTCGACTTACAGATGTCTCATCTTACTTCCACCGCCAATTAATTTACCCAAAACGGGGTATACCCCATTCCACAAATTATTTGACTGAGATAAATGCACAAATGTGGAAAGGAATCCCTGAATTTTAGGAAAAACACGAGAGAGAAAGGAAAATTAAAAATTCATTCAAAGTTGTTTGAAAACAAATATGCTTGCATAAAACAATAACCATTGGACAATGAAAGTGAATAGGGTAATTGTACATTTAACGTTTTCGCCTTATTATGACTCCATGTAAACGCTTTTGTATGCTAAACAACACTACCAGTGTGTGAATATTTACTGAGCTGCATATTTAGCAGCTGAACGTCTCCTCATCACCCCATAAAGCACTGATTGACTGATTTGAATAGACCAATACCACTTACATCAACCAGTAGTGCTTTAGCCAGATAGAAGTAGTCAAAACACTGGACGACTGTCTCTCTTGTTCAAGGCCGAGCTCATCAGCAGAATCTTCAGTCTAAGGCAGTCGGGATCGGAAAGGCAAGATAAACCTTCAATAATCTGAAATCAGTTTGCTAATCTACTGCACTAAACACTAGGAACAAGATTCAGATTTTCAATACCTTTTTGAAGTCAGTTATTCTATATGGTTCAGGGAATCGATGCGTCACCAAAAGCGTTTCCACCAGGCTGCAGACTTTGATCAACAGCTGCCTTCTCTGGCTCCATACTGAAGAAAGCATCAGCAATAGGAAGGAACCAATCAAGAACCTCTTGCTCAACAAATATTCCAAAGTAAGTGGAGATGGATCAGACGTAGTCTGAGGAGACTGTTATGGTGACATTTTCCTCCAGGGCCTCGAGTGTAACCCAAATGAGTAACAAGGGGTCTGGCGTAAGTGTGAGGGTAACATGGAGGAGATCGTGTGTAGTGCGGGATATGACAGTCTATGAGCAGTCGTCCAGCAAGCCAAAGAGAACTGGAGAGAACAGGACGAAATAGATAAATGTGCAGTTGAAGCTTAATGCTCCACTCAGAACCTAAGAGAATTATAATACGGGATAACAAAAGTACCTAGTCACTTGAAATAACCTGTCTTCTTGATTTATTCAATGAATTTTTTTTCTGTGTTATTCAAAAAACAAACATTTCATCTCGGTTACTAAGCTGACAAAATAGAATATATGTTTTAAAAAATTTCATTTCCGTTGTAAAAATAAACGCATATATTTAAGATTCTGGTGTTTACAGCACAGCAGGTGAGTAACTTTAAGAAAAAGTGTCTCATTTCATATTTGTTTTAGTGTGAGAATAACTTATTTCAACTTTATTACGTCGATTAGAACATGTGTGATTGTGCCCTGAGATGTACACACACACAATGTGGAATCAGGACATCTACTCTCTCTCTCTCTCTCATTCATTCAGTCACCTAATGAATAATTTATGCGCATACATACATACATACCCTACATCTATGTCGTTTCTTCTCAAATTCATTGTTCAATGTTTGTTTAAATGTGTAAATACAAAATGTTACAGCGGGCAGAACAAAAATTTGTTGGTATACCTAGTGATTTGTGTATCACTTGTCCAAATAATTTACTTTTCGAATCATATTACCTTAGTTACTACTACTATTATAAAATATTTGCGACATATGCAGACAGGTTTAATTGTTGCATTTATGGCCTATTCATTCATTCATTCATTCAAACAACTATGTGTGTACATGAATACACTTCATTTGATTGGTGGTGATTGGCAGCAGAAACTATGACTCTAATTTTATCCATTTTAGCGCTTGCCAGCTGTATGTACCTGTACCCCAGTGAGTGATAGTATTCCCACTGAGACTCGAACTCAGTAGCTATTATTTCAAACTACAAACGTTTGGTACATTTTTGACTCCATTAATAGTTGCTATCATCCAAATAGCACCATATTAACCTCCAGACGTAGTCGAAGCCTGTGTACTAAAAGTCAACACGTCGACAGACACCGAGAATTTCATTCCAGTATAAATTAGTCAACAGGAAATACGAAAAATAACTTAAAGATTATAGATTTTTATAGTATAATATTAATATTAACAGCTTAAAAAGCCAAACTCCTGAGCTTTTTAGATGTTTAGGCAGATAGAGGTAATTTACTTCACGAGCAGCTCTCAGTATTATTTTTGTAAAATCTTTTTGTTCGTAGCATTCATAATGGAATTAACCTAACTCACTTCAGAGACTCAGGGATTGACTTGTTACCAGGGAATAATCTTGTTGAGTTAGAATATGCAGATGATATAGTCCTTCTAGGTGAAGACGCTGACTAAATGCAGAGTCTTCTGAACACCTTGAGCTGCAATCTGCGAATGTTTGGCATGTGATTCGCTCCCGTCAAATGTAAGATGATGCTACAGGACTGGAGTACATTGACTCCTGGCTTAAAAATAGGGAGTGAAGTGGTGGCTGAGCGCGTTGACCACTTCACTTATTTGGGAAGTTGCATCAGCCAGTCCGAGCGGGTTGATGGTTGAGGAAATCTCAGCTCGGATACAGAAGGCTGGTTTGGCATTCGCCAACTTACGCTGTCTGTGGCATAGACGTGATATCCGGCTATCAACTAAAGGGTGTGTCTACTTCTCAGCAGTCCGCTCTGTCCTACTTTATGACTGTGAGACCTGGCGATTGACAGTAGAAGACATGAAAAGCCTGGCTGTCTGTCTTTGACCATAGGTGTCTGAGTTCTATTTCCCATATTAGGTAGTAGGTGTAATAGGGTGAGTAACATTGAGGTTAGTCGTCGAGTGGTAGGCTAGGTAAGGAGGGAAATCAATCAACGAGTTGGTTGTGAAGTTACACCGATTGAGATGGTTAGGACATGTGTTGTACATGCATCCCTAACTATCGCCTCCCTCCACGGGCAATGTTAGCTGACTGACATAGGATTGATGAGGTTGGAAAAGAGAGAGCTAGTGGTGGTCAAACCAAAAGATTGCGTCAGACAATGAAATCCACAACAGTTAGTTTAAGCCAATCATGTAGGGAGGTGTAGACTTCCTGGATGGTGATATGGCTCAAAATCTATCTCAATGACAGCGCAGATGCATCCACTCCTTGTGGTTTATAATATCCAATAAAACTATATTGTTCTTCCATATAACTATTCTTTTTACCTCATATTTCTGTTTATTATTCTCTGTTTTGAATCTTTCTCTACTCACTTCTCTTGCTTTGTATGCTGTATGGAGTATGGCAACTTGAACTGCTGTACATCGGTGCAAAGTTCTATGTTGAAACCAGTCAGTCAGTCAGTCACAGCATTCATAAAGGATGATAGATAACTTAGGTGGTGAAATATTTTCAAACCCATGGACTCATAATGATCTGAGCACATAACATCGAGTCAGTACAGATGAAGTTTACTTTCCACATGTTAAGCTGGAATACGTCGATTCAGTCACCTCGGCATAGCTAGTTCTGTGGTATAGAACTGACACCAAATGATAACCTTACTACCAGCCACTAAAATTCACAGTGGTGTTTCATAGATTTATGTGTCGAGCTTTCCTAATATATTTATACCCATAATGGGAAAGCAGCCTAGTCAAGTTCCTGGTGGGGGAATACTTGACGGTGATTATACTTTCGCAAAGTGTAATTATGCATTCACCTTTAGATTTCCATAGTATATGCAGTTCATATTATCATGGTAAGTGGATTAATACTAAATACTTCCCATCTGACAATTCTGTCTCAGTAGAACCACAATAAACAATCATTCCAACCAAAAAATAACACGAGTACTGTAAAATCTCCCGGTTGAATAATAAATGACATTGTTCCTGTGTTCCTGGTTTTGTTTGGATTTTAATAAGTTTCAATGCAGACTCCATCACGAACTAACATCAGTTGCGGAGTCGCTAAAAATGAACGGGCACTGAATGACTAATTCGTCCTAGCTTAGGACTCTTCAGAAATGCTGCCCAACCACCTTCAAGTCAAGAAGTCACCTCATTCAGCTCTTTGGAAGCTTCTGAATGGATATGCTCAAGTTCTGATGACAAGTCGTGGCCAAATTTGTCCACTATGTCATGATGTACTGGATTCTTATATAAATTAGGTATTGGTTTGCAAGGATTTCATTGGTTATAGGATTGATCACGAGCTGACATCAGTTAGAGAACCCCTGTAAAACCTGGAACAGCTGTTTCATCCTAGTTTGGGACACTTTATCAGTACACACCACAACCCCACAAGGGATTGGACGCAGGACTTTCAGGTTACACAGCTAGCTCGTTGACCGTTCAGCCACTGGGTTGGAATTTCACGACCCGTGGATCCTAACTTATGTCAACTCATGATATAACTGACTCTTCAGGCAAGAGGACAGTTACTCGCCTGTGACACTGACTGGTGGTTGAGCTAAATATACATATATATATATATCACGAATTGGCAGAAGCTGGAATTCGTAGACTATTAGGTTGAATCCTAGTGGCTGACTGGTCTACGAGCTAGCCTCGTAACCGGAAAGTCCTGGGTTAGAACCCCGGTGAGTGTGTATTGCTGAGGAGTCCCAGACTAGGACGAAATAGCTTTGCAGTACTCCCAGATGGTTTTCCAATGGTCTCCTAACTACTGTCAGCTCGTGATCAATCCTGATACTTATATATATCATTGGTTGGCTGTAGTGTGATGTCATGAATTGACATAGGTCAGGATCCACAAATTATTAAATCCGAACCCAGTTGCTTAATGGTCAACGAGCTGGCCGTTTAACCTGAATGTCTGAGGTTCATTCCTTGGTAGTGTTGTGATAAGCGCTGCTGAACAATCCCAAACTAGGATGATTCTCCAGCTAACGTCTGTTAGTGACAAAATAATCTTATTTGTTGAGATTGAGAGAAATAGACTCAGGTGTATTGATTTCTTTGTTTTTTAAAAACTTGTTTTGCTTCAAAAAGGTTGTATTGTTTTAAATTTTAATTAGACATAAATGTCTGCTCGTCTGTAGGTAGGTGTTTTTGCTAAGCCATTTGAGTACTATGTCACAAACTAAAATCCACAGATTTCGAATCATGTTATGATTTAGATTCAATCCCTTTCAGAAAAATTCATCTAGAAACCAAATCTTTTAACAACAATAACAATAAGATCAACACAAAAATTACCCAAACTAATGGTTGAACTTCATACGTATCAACACCATCAGGATTGATCGGTATCATAGCAAAAAACATACGATAGAATTTATTCGTATAATCCCTCAGTTGATTTGTAGAATCTGCATAATTCACACCCACGGTGATCAACACTCCAGTCAGTAGACACACAGCCAACGGTGATAGAATGTAGAGCAGCTAGAAAAATATGTATATATTGAAATAAAAAGAAAGATTGTGAATGACACTCATATTGAAGTGTTGAGCATTGATATGATAGGTGAATTTATAATTACATGACCTAATATATATATATATATATATATATATATATACGTATTTACATCGGATGACAAACTGGTGAGTTAGTCAGAAGAAAATTATGATAATATGTAAATGAGTTTCTTTGGTTGGTTATTCATTGTATATGTATATTCTGTAGGTGTGAAATGTCATTCCTCAAAGATTATTACTAGAAAGTGGTGTGAATCTATTCTAATCAGCCTAAGATGAACGAATTTAACAATGTTATCTTATTTAATTGAATTTTAGATTTCCCAGTCGATTGATTGGACCGAAGTGCTTGCGGTCTCAGGTTGACATGTCAGCTTCTTGTGCAGATGCTTCACCGATGTCTGAGCATGTAATTGGAATGTAGTTGGTGGATGGTGACTAGCAGTGGAATACAGGATGCGCATTTCGTCCCATTTAGGACTCGTTGAAGCAGCTGCACAAGAAGCCGACACGTCAACCTGAGAATGAGCACTTCGGTCCAGTCAATCGATGGGAAAATCTAAAATTCAATTAAATAATAATCAATATGACCCGTTGCACAAGAGGTGGCTCTCGTGGCCCAAGTGGTCTAGTGGATAATCCTTTGGCGTTTAAAACTATGGTCACTGGGTTCAAGCGTTGGTGGGAACATCATCAGTCACTGGGAAAATGCAGGTACATCCATCCAGTGGACGAGTCCCAAATAGGACGAAATGCGCCTTGTCCTGGATTCCACTGCTAGTCACCATCCACCAATTAAATGTTATCTTATCATAACTGACAATCGTAGTTAGATGCAGATTGTAGCTTTCCATTTATTCGTCAGGTGTACGACTAAACTGTGGGTAGACATGTAGAGATAAGTGGAATGTTTGGTTTGATAACATAGTCTCTACATTCAATTATCTCTCTATTAGGTGAAAAACTGATAATGGTGATACTTCAGTAGGTTTACTGGCCACAAGCTCCTTGTGTAACAGACATAAGGACTCATCCTTGATGTGTCAAGGCATACGATATCTTGAGGTGACTCGAACAAAAGTAGGTGAGGTAAGATTTTACGCTAAAATTTACTAGTCACTAGTAAGAAGTATGAATCAATGAGGTAAACATTTAATAAAACTTGTTAAGACTTAGAATATGTTTTTTATTCCTTCACGTTCCCAGTGGAACATAAGGCTTCAAGCTAGAGGCAAGAAGTTTCGGTAGCAGCGGTGTTTATTTTTACGAGATGAGGTTGCTAACCTCACGCCTAACCTTCCCTCTTTACCAGTCTTATTACTGGCCTAGGGTGGTAAAATAGTGCGTCGGTGGCCGGGCATCAAACCCCAGACCAAATATGTGGTCGGCGAGCATTCTACCGCTGTTCCACTGACGCACTCAAACTTAGAATAATCTCTACATAACTCAGGGAATAGAACACACTCAATTACCCATTTAAGTTCTGGGAAACTTCTCAATATTTCAAAAAAGAATATTCAAGTCATAAGTCTGAAATTCTTAGACTCTATTGTAAAATTAAAGCATCTGAAAATACAGCTGTGAAACAATGTTTACAAAGAAAGAACCAGAGGAGAATTTAGTTGCCTAGTCAACATCGCCTTCATGTGTAATGAGATGATTTTAGTACTCAGATGTTAACTGTTTCGTAAAAGTGATAAAAGAGTTGTTTGATAACTTAAACTTGATCCATTTAAGGTGGCTAGAACATATGTTATGCATTTCGAGTCATTGCAAATAAAGTCTGACAGGAAATATCAGCCCTGTAGTCAAATACTGCTGAAAGAACTTTTAATATTAACTACATGAACTGCATAACAGTCCCACTGGTTAAGTAGCCACTTTCTATGGGTGGAATATCCATTGAAGTGTCCTCAAAACACACATTGTGAAAGCTTTCCTTTAGGTTTCTCCGATACAGTGGTTACTAGCATGTCTACCTAATTAGGGATTTCGTTAGCAGACTACTGACACACTTTATGTAGGTTTCTAAAGAGATATAGTTCTGTAGTAGGAAGACACTACCTGCAGGAAAGAACATTTCCAATTCCCTTTTAAACCATACTTTTTTCTTTGATAATCTTTTTGTTTAGCTGGGATGAAAACTGCATACATATTGACTTCTTCTCAATTATTTGAGGTCAACTTTTTCTGTCAAAAGTTACCTTCCTCATGTCATGTTAAATTGCCTAGAGAATCTGTTCCGTCTAAAGATTTTTTGTCAGAGGTGGCCAACTAATTAGGAAAAAATGTTGTTAAGAGCTACTTCGTAGGTATTTGATTTGCTTCAAATTTAATCATGGGTTGATATCAGTCAGAGAGCTATTGAAAACTAAGGAGTACTAGACGAGTGTTCCGTCCTAGTTTCGAACCATTCAGCAATACGCACTTATCACCCAACCAGGGATCGAATCCACGACCTTCTGATTATGAAGCCAAGCTCACTGACCATTCAGGCACTTTGGCAGGGATCCAGAAGTACTGGGTTCGACCCACTGTCGTTCGTGGGTGTGTACTGTGAGGAATCTTTAGTAAAAGGCGAAAGATTTATCCACAAATGAGGAGACACTAGAGTGTGTGCGTCGGTGGCACAGAGGTAGAATGCTCGCTAACCACGCCTCATGTGGTTTGGGGTTCGATCCCCCACCGACGAACTCCTTCACCTCGCTAAGCCAGTTATATGACTGGTAAAGAGGAAAAGTTGGGCATGAGGCTAGCAACCCCTTCCCGTAAAAATAAACACCACTGCTACCGAAACTTCTTGCCCCTAACTTGAAGCTCTGTGTTCCACTTGGAACGTAAAGGAATAAAAATACTGTGAGGAATCCCAATTTAGGACAAAACAGCTGTAGCTTAACTGGTTTCACTTATACTAGACACCCTCGGGTAGAAATAAATTATAGCTGAAGTGCTTTCTAATTCGTTGTTTTCCTATAATTATTCCTTTCTCGCACTCAGCTCATATTATTCTGTAGCCTAAGCTGTTAAACTGTTCGTCGTAGGCATAATTCGTTTTTAATTATACAGACATCCTTGGAATTACTAAACAAGTGTGAGGCATGGTTTATGTCACAGGAAGTAGCAAGGGCATCATCAATGTGCATAAAACAATAATTTCCCTTGACTGGAGGTGCCCATTAAAAAAATTTAATAGACTAATTAAGGAACAAAGACTATTCTTTCCGACAAATTCGTCATCACGCTCTACACTTATATGGCCATAATAATTCAAGAGTTATTGTTATTTACACCATTAATGCTGTTTTAAATTACACTGAATCAATAGTATCGACAGGTGATTACATTTCAAAAGCATCAGTAAGAGAGAGAGGGATAATACTCATTAATGTAACACTAAACTGATTGAATATCAAATAAATTAAGGGAAATAACACAGAATTTGTGAATTTATAGGTTCGACAACAGGCCAGGGTAGGAATAATGGCTGGCTGGACGTGTCTTTCTTTTGCACACACAGTTCTACTTGATTTAGGCGAACTGCAATGTCCTTTGCTATTTGCAGTGTCCGGTATCTAGAGACCTTTGGTAATTTATTCGATACCCGATAGATTACAGAGGGAGATTCTTCAGTGTTAGCTTCATGGCCTGTTTGGATGAGGTGGTCCGATATAGAACTGTTGATTGTTTCAACGACACCTTTATTTAGCCATACTGGCAAGTGGTCCTGAGCGTGAAAAACTAAATTCCTGGAGAAACGGCTAATACACCTGGCTCCAGAGGAACGGTTTAATTGACAAATACAAATATAGGTACCTGGCCTAGGTACCTATTCTTTCAGTTTCGGAATGACAACCGGTTTTGTAGGAAATATAAGCTGCAAGTTACTGGCATTAAACGTCTTTTGAATCGATTTTATCGACTTGTTGGTTATTATTTTACTTCGTATATCATCCGTGAATTGTAGTCATATATGTATAGAGGCTTCTTCTCCTTTTAATTTTCCACTTCATCAGGTTCTTTCACAAGTTTAGTGACGAAGACTACACAGTGTTGAACACTATTCATTCTGTCATTCTAACTCTACATTTGTCTGTTGCATTGAAATTCATTATGTCATTTACTGACAAAAAACATTCTCATTTTGTCAGTCACACCACAAGAAACATGAACACCGGAAAGCATTTCGGCTTAAACAATGAAATCATGAGTGGTACATGGTTTTCCGGTCTGAAGGTGACTGTGTTTTTTCTTACTCAACTGTTTTCAGTCTAAATTATGCAATTTATCTCATTGCATCAATCAATATATAAGCTGTTTTATCTACCTACCTTCTTACAGATGCCTAAAAACACACCACCCTCTCGCTGATTCTGTTATGTAATTCTATCTGCGCATAACTGATGAATCATTCACTCAGTTAGAATAAGTATTATTAACCGATTTCAAGGATAACTGGAATATAGTGATAGATACGCATAAATTTGTTACATAATATTACATGTGCATAATATTACAGGCACATTTTACAGGGTATTTTATACCATTTAGGTTGTATTCGTTCCTGCACACACTCGAGTGTCTATTTGTGCGTCTGTGCGTAAGTGTATCTGTATGTGTGTGTGTATGTGTGTTTGCATGCGTGTTTATTTGCATATGTCTGCTTAGTTGTCTAACAAGCTCTTTCATCGTTGTTCTAAACATGAACAAAGGCAACTAATATAGCTCACTAAAAGTAGATTTACAAGCAAAAGGAATATAAACATATATATATCCTCATGACTAAATTTATATATATTGAGAGATAAAACAAATAGGCTCTATCCATAAGTATTTTGAAATGGAGTTAAACAACTGTTTGTGACAACTCATCACCTTTTTGTTACTACACTAGTTTCATTAACACCCAATTTTCTTGACCCTGTTGGACCTCACTGGTCACGACTTCTCACTAGAACTCCAGGAAACTTCATCCTGTAGCAAGTCACTAGAGAGCATCAGATTAATTTTCAAGAGTTGGTTTCTAAAGATTAAATTTGTTTCTACGAGTTTGCTCACGGATTGATATCAGTTAGAGAACCATTGAAAACAAGCCACAGCTGTGTCGTCCTGGAGTTCTAGTGAGAAGTCGTGACCAGTGAGGTCCAACCAGTCAAGTGTGAGGATGGATTTCCCACCGATGACATTGGTTGGTGCCAGTCGCGCTAAATCACGAATTGGTAGAAGTTAGAATTCATGGGCTGGCTATTGAATCAGATCCCAGTGGCTGAATGGTATATGAGCTTGCTTTGTAACCGGAAGGTCCTGAGTTCGAGCCCTGGTGGTGGGTGCGTACTGCCAATGATTCCCGAACTAGAATGAAACAGCTGTCCAGTACTCCAAGCTGGTTTTCAATGGTTCTCTAACTGATATCAATCCGTGGTCGAACCCATATATATTTGCAACTGTATAGATAAGAAAATGAATTCGCTGAAAAGAGACTCTTCGCTGAACTACGTGTTTTCATTTTCATTAATACCTGAATGGGGATTATTCATGAAATAAAAATAAGTGTGATTGTAATCGTAGCTAAATATCAAGTGATAAAATTATACGATTAATAAGACTAGTAGGAACAAAGAGAATGAGGCAAGTTAGTATGAATTCGATAGATGATCTTAAAATCATAATCAGGGTTGGTAGAGTGATAGAAGTCGATCAAGTGTTGTAGAATAGACCCTCGTACACCCTTCCTTTCTCCCTTGTAAAACCGTACTGGAATGTTCTATCGTATCTGTGTGGAAAACATTCTCTCTCTTGTGTGTTACTCCACAAGAGCAGGTGAACTGATAGATGCATAAGCAGGCGGTCAGACAAAGGAGAATAACCTGCAGATGATGAAAGTCAGTTGGAGTTTTGCTGTAAAGAACATCCTACTGAATGATTTAGAGAGATAATTTTTGAGCATATCTGAAGCCTAATCACCTTTAAATTCCAAATTCATGAAGATGGTCTTTTTTGGGAATTGAATCAGTATTCTTATTATCATTACTCTGAACAGTTTCCGGTATTGTTTCATTATTCCTTTCATTATTTTAAATCAATAGATTTTATGCAATGTTTCATTCCATCTTATGAAACTTCTCACTGTATTACGTAATTTTTTTAGTTGCCTACTAATCCTGTAATTTTACATCCTTTTTCAACATCTGTATATTCTATGAACTATTCCATATATGACATTATTTGCTTTGTGCGTCAGTGACCCAGAGGCAGGATGCTTACCAACCACGCCTCATGTGGTTCGGGGTTTGATCCCCAGCCACTGATGCACTCCTGTACCTCGCTAAGCCAGTAATAAGACTTGTAAAGAGGGAATGAGGCTAGTAACCCCATCTCGTAAAAATAAACACCACTGCTACCGAAACTTCTTGCCTCTAGCTTGAAGCCCTATGTTCCATTGGGAACGTAAAGGAATAAAAAATTTGTTTTTCCACTTGATATTTAACTATGATAATAATCAGAAACATTTTAATTGCATTTCATATTATTACTACTACTACTACTATTACTATTATTCTAAGGATTGACACGTTTGTTTTAATTTCCTCACAGGATATAGTTTCTTGAATAGCAGTGAGAGGACAGCATAGAGTGTCAGCACATTTACTGAGGATAATAGCTAGTACACCATCTGGACCAAGGGACTGGGTAAGTTTCAGGGATTTGAGCAGCTTGAAGACATCGTCTGAGTTAAAACTAAAGAAGTGGTCATTATTTGTACTTGTAGCATTTGAGATCACAACATCAGCTGGGCGACATATGAAGGACTTATTTAGAGTACTAGCATCAACTGAAGAAGGATCATTATCTGTTTGCTTACTCCCGATATATATATATATATATCAGTGCATTAAAGTCAACTCATTAGATAAGACATTAATGTCTTCATAGGCATTTTCGGTGTTACAAAGTAAACGGCGGCATAACTGTGTTGGTAGTCAGTCTTAACTGCTTTTCTGGAATGCGCTTATCTCAGGCGCAAAACAAGGACTATTTATTGTTAAGCACAGTAGTTATATGTACGTTTTATTCCCTCGTTCTACAGACTACACATTTTTTCATCACCACAGAATATACAAAGAAAGTCCACTCGCCTTGTATTCATCCTCAGATAGGTTTATTATGATGCAATAATTCATGCTTTAATTTCATTTTATTACAACAACACTGTATGATATATAGTTTATGGTATTTTTCCCATGATTCAAATCTCATTCAAATCACTCTTTCTTGAAATAAATATTCGACTTTTTGATAGTTATTAGAAGTAGAATAAATATACAAATTAAATTATATGTTTTGCATCAATTAGATAACAATTACTGTTACGCGATGCAGATTTCTCATGTAACAGGCTACTAGCTGAACTTATTCTGTGAGAGATATTAACACTACTCAGTTGTTGAGGCTGAATTATGTGGAGCGGGATTCGAACCTGAGATCAAATGATTAAAAGTGGAATGCCTAAGCCGACTGATGTGATAGGGGGCTTTCATATAGCATTATAACACGGTAGAATTCATTAATTCTAATTCTAAGTCCTAATGATTAGTTCAGCTAAGTTATAAATACTAGTAAAACCTTTTATTTGCATATGTATACATATCAACCAGTTTAAAAACCTCAGTCTTCAATTTAAAGGATATAATTATATAAAAACCGAAAGCTTTTTCTAAATTTTAAAGACTTACCAAACCGAAAACCTTTGAACCACCAATAGTCATGAGAAAAATAAGAGTAAATGCAGCTATATAAGGAATTGCAATTAATCCACGATTGTTAAACCACGATGGGAATTCTGGTCCGGTGAGAATATCATCACTTCTCATAAGTAGAAAATTTCTGAAAAACGATGCAAATGTAAACAGATTATTATCTAATCAAAAAGCATTAATAATTAACAATATTGTTTTTAAGTTTAAGAGATGTCATATTAACTTTGACTTATGCTAGCAATTTATGGATTGTTAATTAAATTTAATTACTGTAGTGTAAACTTTTCAGAATAAGCGTTAAATTACAATTTTAAGTTCCCTATTTTCATTGAATAAAATCCCTTTGTAAACTGTTGAATTTAGGAAACATGCTGTACACAAACTTCACAATGAAACGTAATTCTTCTGTTGTGCCACTTAAATAGAATGTTTTACATTCATTGTACATAACAAGAGAGACTCGAATCCCAATTCTGCGAAAATAGACTGAGTTGCTATCACATGAAGTAAATATGTGCCGAACTTCTGTCTAAGACAAAGAAAACGCTTAGATATATCCATAGTGCTTTTTACAAGTGAATAATAAGGTAATTAAACATTTTAACCAGGAATCATGCAGAAGATACAAGAATTGCAGCTGAGATTTCATAAAGCACAATACAGTTATTAGCATACGTGAAAGAATAGGCATTATGGTCTTAATAGTATACTCACTTATCACAGGGATATGAATATTTTCCGGAAGTTAATTAAATATACACTCATGACTGATTAGCTTTTGTGGGTTCGAATGCCAGTGAAAGCGTGCTTTCGATGAGTACCAAACTGGGACGAAACAGCCCTCCAGTACACCCTAGTTTCCAATATTTGGTTTTCTAACTGATATCCATCCAAGATGAAACTTGAAAATTAGCTTTTGAGTATTTTAAATATCTGTTTAAACAACCATTAATTAACACGCTGTTACTGAATAAATTGTTATCATTATCATTGAATCATAAGTTTCCGGGACAAAACTTTGCTCACAAATGCCACATTAAACCAAGAATAGTCACCACAAACCTTATTGTGCTTAGATATTTCTTATTTTAAGTCTACCCATCTGTCGGTTGAATATTATACTTCTCATCATTTGCATGCTATCTAATAAATTAGCTCTGATTTAACTGTCCAGTGTATTCAGTAACAGTATCATAATTATTTTAAAACAGAAATTATCCCATTTCTCGGAAGTTAGTATGTCTGAATTGACGATAAAATTAATGGACTTGTTTCTTATGAATTGGTAATGAAGTGTAACAGTGAACCTCTATAGAGAAATCATTTAAAAATGAGATCACACTTGTTGGTAGACCCACAAGACGTGTGATAGAAACACAAAAAGTATATTTAAAGACCGGTTATTTTCATTTACTTCTTCTTAAAGTTTTATAGTTACAAATCTATTAGTGTTAGTATGGAATAGTGAGTAAGGCCACGTAAAAAACTGAATTCCGGTACAAGTAAAAAACGGAAAGGTAGTAAGTTGGTTTTGACCATCATAATGAAATTTTCTTTACATAAGGACTACGTTACAATCTGTAGGTTTATTACAGAAGTGACGAATTGTATTTTATACTCATAGAATGTGGTAAAGACAGCAGCTTGAAGATCACTTTTAATAGACTCTCAAAGTATATTTACAATAACTAGTCAGTAAGTGAAAATAATGGTCATATATGCCTCAGTAATTTCCACAAAACATCTAGAAAAGTTGAGTGAGTTATGTGATCCCAAATAGTCTTTATTTAACAAATAAAAGTATTGATATAACTCTACATTCATAGTTAATCAGATTATGGATATTGCCCACATTTGTGTCCAGTTTACCTCCCTCCTTAATACAATATGTTGTTATCGAGACAGCTTTACCTTATTCATCGATTATAGTGACGTCATTTGTAGTTTAGTCAAGGTTTTACGCAATAAACACTCCAACTTTTAAACTAAAAACCGGCTTAAAGTAACATACCCTACACAGACAATATTACTTACATAAAAAATTTTTCTTCGGCAATCGGACCCGCATAAACCATTTTGTAGTTGCTAAATACTTTTATCCAAGTAGAAATTCCATTCTTACTCCTTGCAATCACCCTCGCTCCATGAGTCTGCACATGAACCCCAAACAAATGTTCCGCCAATACAAATTCTCCCGTCACAATTATACATACTGAAGAACAAATATGCCAGGGAGATAGCCAAGTAGTATGCTCCTGAGATAACTTTAATCAGGTTAGTAGCAGCAACGATGACTGAAAATACTTAAAGGTGTGAATAAACAAGACCAGAAACATACTGTTGGATACCGGCATATACCTGTCAAAAAGGACGAAAATGCTCTCACGAGTGTGACTAAAAATTCTGAATTGTAGATATAACACTGGACAGTTGAAAAGGAGATGAAACATAATGAAGCATAAGAGTGCCCAGCCAGAACCCAGAAAATGATCGAGTGGATACTTCGCAAACATTATCATTGACAGAGAACATGAAGATATAAGTATTGCGTGTATCAGGTTCCATTGAGACTCTGAAGCTTCTGTGATATTAGGATCTAGATCCATCTCACAAGTGAGAAAGAACGATCACTAGGAACAATGTTTAACTGTGCATGTAATCTGTAATAAATAATCTTTATGCATTAAAACAAACGCCCCAAAAATTGATAGAAATGAACTTTAACTATTTTCACCTTTCTGAATTTTTGACGTCTATTCACCTACATATAATAATGTAAAATATTTATAGATTTGGCTAAATCATTCATAGTGGTCTCCTTATCACGTCGACCACATGCTTAAACACTATTATTCAATCAGTGACACTTTGAACACTATTTACTGCCCATGAAAATGTCGCAGCTGTTTAATGAGAATAAATCTTGTCTCAAAACACACCCATTAAATACTACTCTTCCAAAACTGAAACAGTTACTAAACCAACCTTCCACACATTTGTTGACTTTTCGCCAGCTTTGTATATGAGGATCTGCCGACATAATTTGCAAGACATACGACGCTGGAAGACATGCATGATCCACATCCCAATAAATACACCAATATATCCTGAGCTGACAATAAATTTAAGTGATGCAAATTCCTGAATATCATATCTGATGTAAATTCCTGAAAATCCAACTAACCAAAATGATGGTGTAAATGATGTGAACAACAAAAAGAAACAACAACCAGCTAAAATAATATGACTTAAGAACTTCTGACGAAATTAATTTTGAAGCAAATTAAATAACTTTGAAGTGCTGAAGTGAGGTGATGAATCATAGGCCCATCTGACAATATAGTCCTTATTATTTCGCTAGATTATTTAACTTTCCTGAAAACCCTTTCTGATACGGTTGCACTTTTTTTAAATACATTGGAACAATAGACGACATCATTAAAGTCACAGTTTTCTTTATTGATCCACGGAATGGCTAACACTGAAATAGACAACACTCAACTTGTTGTCCACTCAACATTTATTTGAGACATAAAAGTGGTTTGTCTTTCATTATTTAAAGATATTCAGAATTTGTTTGCACGTTAGCTCCAAGCACATATCACATTTAGTCAGTGTCAAATGATTTTAAGATGATTCACGTTGTTTCAATCTTATATAGGGAAAACGCTATCATGGGTAGGTGTTTCATTTGGAAAAATTGCGTAGTAATCTTTATTTCTGATGAAATAAATCACTGCTGGTAGGTTGTTTTTACATGAGCGCTCATCACTAAAGTGCTCAGGAGTTGTTAGCTCCAAAGGCAGAAACTGCTAAGGCGGGTGTCCACGGAAAGTATTCCGTGCAGCAGACAGCCTGTTTGGATCGGAGAAATCAACGCAGCACTTATGGCCTCAGATAATTTACTAACCTGAACCTCTGGAATGTGAAGGAAGATGATGGCATACAATTGGAGCATGATAGTAAAAGGGTGGTGTTTGCACTGTACAGTGCCTGTAAATTCTTGTAATTCTCTATCATTCTAGTCATTGGGGTAAGTCACTGAAAAAATGAATGAAACAGTGTTCATGCCTGTGGAGTGACCGTGTGGCCTGCTAAACCTGCTCTTTAGCACCACCACCTGCTGACCGTCTAGCCTGGACCATATAACTTGCTCGAAAAGTCACATTTGGCATCGCCCCAACTAGTGGAGGTATGCTACAATGCTTGCGGCTGTTCAAGAATGTATTTCTTAACGTAGTTATAAGGAGAGTATAGGAACACTCAATCACACCACAACACAGCAACCGCGCCCTTGTTTTTTGAAACTTCAGTTGTCGGCATTTTAATTCAATCAGCAAACATAAACAAATCGATCGTTGGAAAAGAGATGGCCGAGGTTCTGTTTATTTGACGAGTTTCTTTAATTGTCTACACTATCGTTTATATAAAAAGTTCTGTTCTGCATGAAGCGGCAATGGTGTTTCGACCAATAACACGTCCATAGATGTGGAGGATTAAAGCTAAACTAGAACACAGGTTTTAATGCATTCGCTTTGGATTAACAGCCTTCACTATATCCACAAATTATGCAGGCGTCATATGTTTACTAATTTTTTGCTGATTATGAACAACCACCACTTCTTATAATAAAGGTATAACCACCACTTCTGATGACGCATTTATTTACATTCCTCCCAAAGTCTCATGGTTCTCTGGAAACCGCAGCAAATATTTTTAGGAATGAAACGGCGAGTATTCCCTCTGGATGACAGGTTAGAAGATCACTATGGGGTCTGTCGCATCACACTACACCTTATAAACTCCTGCCCTGTCGAAATACTTGCATCTCCTGCTATACTACATATAACTGTCTAATAAGCAAGGGACTCGCAACGAAGATGAAACACTAAAAGACAGAAATATTTCAGCACAGTTGCATTCAAACCAAATCGTTGAAGATACTGAAAACTACTCTTGCAGAAATACGTGCAGTAATGACGTTACGAAGCTGCAACTGTGTAGCTGACCGATACTCAAACATAAAACAAGTTGCTATTTCTAAGAGTTTACCGTCGATTGCGAAAGTTGTATTTCATATGCAGTCAGTTAACATATCAGGAAGTACTGTTCTT